TATATATATATATATATATATATATATATATATATATATATATATATATAATATATATACATTTTATAATTTAAAAAAACCCGACCTTCATTAAAGGCAGTTGTCTTTTAAAATATATTACTTTTTTTTGGGCAAATTTTCACTTGTTTTGTTAACTCTTTCTCTATAAGCTCAACTAGCTTTGTTTGGTGGAAAGTGAGGAAGTTATAAATAATCAAGAATAAGTAATGTATATACTCGTTCATTAGCCCATTCGTTTATAAGCTGACCCCCCAAGATGGTTAGGTAAAAATATCAAAAACCATATGACCCTTTCATAAGCCGACCCTATATTTCAGGGATTGGCAAACTTTGGCTCCCGGCCGTCAGGGTAAGCCGCTGGCGTGTCAGGACGTTTTATTTACTTGGAGTGTCTGCAGGCATGGAGCCCCGGGGCTCCATGTCTGCAGACACGCCAGGTAAACAAAATGACAATGTATTAGATATTCAATGATTCCATAGAGTTTAAAATCATCAAATTTTGGTGTAGACCTGTTTGTAAGCCGACCCCCGCTCTTTGATGCGTCATTTTTTTTTACCAAAGATATTTGGCTTATGAATGAGTATATACAGTTGATTATCTGAGAAGAGAAAGGTATTGTTATAGAGAAGAAATAAAATTAGGACTTGAAAATACTTTCTTAAGAAGGATATTTCAGCTAGAATGCTTTGGAATACAGTATACATAGTCCGTTAGGTTTGCAAGTGACATTCCTTGTATATTTTGCATGACAGCTTGGTGCTTAAGAAAGACAAGGGCTTAGTATGAATAAGACGCAGTTGTCATGTATGTAGATGCCAGATTATTCAAAAGCTTTCAAACAATACTCAAGGTGAAACTTTGCCAGAAGCTGGGAATGGGTGACAGGGAATGGATTACTTGATGATTACCTGTTTTGTTCATTCCCTCTGGGGCACTTGGCATTGGCCACTGTCAGAAGACAGGATACTGGGCTAGATGGACATTTTGTCTGACCCAGTATGGCCATTCTTACGTTCTTAACTGGTCACCCATTTCCCCCTCTTATCATTAATCGATAGGAGAAGCCATTTCTTATGCAGCAGGTGATTAAGCAGTCAGTGTGCACCCTGGTGGTCTGAATTTACACTGCTTCTAGCTTTTGCTGCTTCCTCATTGTGACAGAGATGTTGAGTGGGTGCTCCAGAAAGAAGCAAGTGTACAGAGAAAGGAGTCAGCTGTTTAGTAACTCAGCAACCAGAGCAAAATCAGCAGTGAGCAGGTGGCTAGCAAAGACTGAGTGGTAGAGATTGAGGGGGAAACTTTAGTCTACTGTACTTTTTTTCTCGGGACTTCATCCCCAGAACAATTGAGGGCAGGTATTTCAGCCACATAGTCACCTGCTTAGCATTGCTACTGCTATATGCATTTGCTCTTGGTAAAACTGTCAGAAGTGCGTTATTGCTGATTTTTATATGTTATTACCTACAACTGAAATTTGAAGTCAGTGGGCTGCAACACTCAAAATTGGGTCTTAAGTCTCTTAGGCTCTTAACTCGCATAAGCACTTGTGAAAACTTTTGTAAATATTTTGCTTTCACTAAATGCTACTTTTTTTTTTTTTTGTAAATGGTACAAACCCTTGTTGATTAAGGGTCTGACAAATACAGTTCTTTCCTATTTTTATGCTAGGACAGAGTAAAAGTTGTTTTAAAAAAAAAAAGCTAAACCATGCTTTTTTGTTCTTAAAAGGAATGGATGGCAGATATCTTTATTATGGAACAGTAATAAAATATTTGGTGTATTATAAGTTGGATACATAAGCATTCCAAGTTACAGCCTGGAAGGAAATCTTTGTCACTTTTATAGATATAATGGGGGAACATTATGGAAATGGTAACTAAAACTTTTCTGTGGTTTCATTGAAACATTATGACCTATGTTTGAGCATACACAACACCTAGTCTGATGTGTAGGTGCACATGCACACACATGCTGTCTAAATAGGTATGAAAGGGTTGTCAAATTGAGTGTTTCCCCTTCAATATTATGTTTAGCCAGCCCTTCAATGGAGGGTTGTCCTCCTCTTGCTGGAGAATGGGCAGCTTATAGAACTGTCAATCTAGGACTGCTTGCTCCTCTAAGGACCTCTGCTACATTCTACTCCCAGAAAATACTATTTCTGAAGTTGTTGCACCTTCATTTTGCAGTAAGTACAAAATGAAGAATATATGTATTGTTGTTAATCTGTTTAGACAGAGTTTCTGTCAAATTGAGAGCTGAGCAGAGATCTCGCCATCCTGGTCCTCAACAAGATGAACAAAGATAGTGTGTGTGTGTGTAAAACCGGGTGACAAATATCTCTTCTTGTGAGTGAGTGCCAGCTCACTTTTTTAATGTTGATTCAGAACTATTCATCCAATTCCAAGTAGGGAACTGCAAGGTGAAACAAATTTTTTTACCCTAATTATTTGGTATCATCACAAAATGTGAAGGCAAGGTCTTTACCCCCATCAGGTCTGCAAGAGAGTGTTTTAGCTATGGAAAGAGCCATGGAGGAAAAGCTTTTCAAAATGGAAAACAAACTTAGAGTAAAAGATTAAGTAAAATTCATCCTAAAGCCACTTTGGTAGTATGCAGAGAGGACTCTACTTAGCGCACCTTGAAGCAATAAGGTGGCTTCTCATTGCTTGAGGAACAGAAGTGAATATTAGCCTGTGTATGCCCAAGAACAGAATTGCATGGCCAGCAAATGTATGTTGCGGAATCCTTGTTAAGGAAATAAAAGAAAAGCTCTCTGAGTAAGAAGTAACCTGTGGACCCTTGGGGTTCTGCAGACTGTCTAAGATTTTCAAAGGGATCTGCACCTCCATTCAAAATTTTTTTAGGGATCCACAAATGAAAAAAGGTTGAAAACCATTGGTATATTCACAGGACTAAATCTGCAGTGAGGGGAAAAAGTGGATAAACCCAATAGATTGTCAAGTTAAGTGGAAAGAATAAGGCTAGCCACCCTGTTTGTTTTATTCCAGGTTATAAAAAGGAAAAATAAAATTAGCTGAAGAATGAGTCCTTGGATTTCTTTTTCACCCTTCTTTCTAAGGATGAAGAAGAAAAGAAAGAGGGAGAGAGCCAACATGGGTGGAGAAATTTGATTTTTAGACTTAACAAAAATTATTTTCAGCATTGTACTTTGTTGTTCTGTTCAAAAGTTATTTAAATTTTTGGAGTAAAAAGAGGTTGAATCAAAGAAGTGAAAAAAATGAAGAAGGCATTACCTATATAGTTCAGAGAGGAAGTTTTATGATCCATTACTTTCTAGTCTGGAACAGTTTATTACAAGGAGAACGAACTTCCTCATATAAAGGCAGAAGATTGAAGATTAAAACAAAATCAAAAAGATAAACCTGACTTGTCTGAAGAATGTTGCTGTAATATGACTAGTTTCTTTTTTCTTTTTTTTTCTTTTTTTAAAATCAACAACCTTGTAATTGTTATTGAAGGAGATTTTCCAAGGACTTGGCATATAAAGTGAGGGAGGCTTTTAAGAAGAAAGCAATCAGTACCATGTGCCTCTTATTCATTTAGACCAAAATATTTCTGCAAAGAGCTGAAGAATGGATCCCCAGTAAGGATAAATCTATAAAATTAGCTTTTGGATCACAGCTATATTATTTTTCTTTGTGGCAGGTGCCCACAGGTACCCTCTTAAAACAAACAAACAAACTGCAGATGGTTTGCTGGCAGAAAATATAGAGGCTCCGCTATAGTGACTGAGGCATTGTAAAACTGAGAGCCAAGTAAGGTAATTGTTAGCTTCTGCTGAATACCAAACTGCCAGATAAATAGAAGAGCACCATCTGTCATCAGGAAGTGATAAAAGGTGGTCTCCTGCTTAAAGCAAATGACAGGGACACTGGACATTTGCAAAGCACCCTAAGTATGAAGTAATTATATTAGAAGTAGTAACTTATTCTATACAATACAATAAAAGTTGTGAAAAACGTGGTAGAGATGGGAACAGATAGCTTACCTTTGTTGGCCACTTTCCTACAATGGAGGATTGGTTAAGGAGGTTTGTAATATAAGGCAGCCTTTTGGGCAGACTGCAGGCAGAGAGCCTCAGTTTCCCCTCGTGGACTGTTGAAATAAAATGTCACCAAGGTTTTTTCTTGGTCAGAAATATCTCTCCTTGGGGACTGGATATATTAACCTAAATAAAACTTCAAAGAAAAATCAAGATCCCAAAACAAAGTCCACCCAAAAGTTGATACAGAATGAAGGTTTTGCTTCCATACTTTGGTAGACCACTCCAGGCCCTGTGGGACTGGACTCTCAGTCCTAACTCCCAGGACTTTCTGCTGGAGTCTGCTCACTCCTAGCAGTCTCTGATCCCTGAGCATTCCCCCCTGCTTACAGCTTCCTGCTGATCTTCATAGGGAAATCTGCTGATTTCTCCCAAGTGTGGCTTCTTAGTAATCAGGGTTGGCTGTCCCAGGTCTTCCATCCCTGTTACATGGTTTCAAGGGGAAAAGGGAAATTTGTCTCAACTGTTGACTTTCTTTCTCAGCAATATGTCTACCAATATGATGATACACTTATTCACAGAGTTTATTTTATATAATTTGTTGACTGTATTACTAAGTCACACACATATACAATAGTCTCTGTTTCACAAAGGCTTAACAGTTTGAGTTTAACTGTGAAACTATGTATCACTGAGGCATCATTACTGTTATTAAATATTCTAGACAATTTACAAATATACTTAAAGTATTTTTGATAAAAAATAAAAGCTTTTTGAAGTATTTTTTGTGATTACATTTACTTTTTTGTGTACCCTTACCTGCAAAATTCAGTAGTTCAAAATAGGTCACCAAGCTGTATGAATTGGTGAGGGGCCAATATTTTATCATAAACTTAATTCAAGCTGTAAGCTTACAGCTGTAGAGCTTGGGAAAAACTCCTTCTGGAAGGAGAATAGAGGAGCAGTCCTTTAGTGGAATCAGCAGTCCTTGAATGACAGCTCTGTAAACTTCCCAGTCTTACATGAGTGGACATCCTCACAGTGGACAATTAGCAGACGTATTTCAGATAAAGAAAATAGACTGGTAAGTCAAACTTTCTTTATACGTATCTCTTTCATTTTCCTTTACAAATATACCGCTGTATATTTCAGGCCACACATTTTCGGTCTCCACTTCTTCAACAGACAGAAAACCAAGTAACTTCAGCTGCAGGTCAACAAGGGCAACAGGCTGTAACAGATGTCATTCAGCAGCTCCTTGAGCTGTCAGAGCCAGGTCCAGTGGAAAATAACCAGCCCCAGCAACCTGGCCAGCAACTCAATATTGCAGTAGGACTCAATCGAGACATTTTGCAGGTAGGGTGTATTTACATAATAAGTAGTTTAGCATTCAACAGTGTCTTTGTAATTATCCTTCTAGTGAAATCAGCAGTTGATTACAACAATAAGGTGTTTGTATGCCTGAATTGACTTCTTTGCCTAACGGGAAAAATTGAAATAATGAAAATACAGTGTGCAGAGTGCAGCAAGATGTTTCTTTGGCCCCATTATGTGATCAGATTGGAATGCAATAAATACTAGTTGGAAGTGAATGACACTAAATATTTTTTAAAATTAAGATTGTCCTTTTGTTTTTTCTGTGGTCCATGGACCACTTCTGGCATTCAAGGATCTAAATTGTGGCCATCCAGGATGAGCATGTTAAGAAATTTTCTATTTGATTATGAATTGAGAATTTGTTCTCTGAGCTGCACCCTGTGATGTTTAAGCTGGAGTATTTGGATCAACCGCATTGCTCCAACTCTCTCTCAAACCCATTGCTGTCCAATTGCCTCTTAATCGTTCCTTTGTAGCGTCAGGGGCTCAGTTGGCAGAAAGGGAACAGAACAGGGTAGAAAATATTCATCTTAAATATTGGTCGTGGCCCCTTGATCTTTCTCAAATATGTTCAGTCTTCAAGCTGAAAAGGTTGCACACTATTTATGTATTAGTCTCTCTTCTCTTGAGCATCAACCAACCACACTATTCATCTGAACCCCTTTTTGAAACATTCAGGCCTTAATTCTGCAATGCACTGTTATCCCCGAGCAGAGCCTTATCAGGTCAGTGGGGTTCTCTGCAGGTACAATGAATTATAGGATCAAAGCCTAAGGGCTGTCTACACTAGAGAGTTAGCTCAGGTTAATTATAGCGCTCAGGGCTGTGAAAAATTTCAGAGCCCTCAGTGATGTAACTAAGTTGACCTAAGCCTCAGTGTAGACACCACTAGGTCGACGGGCTAACATTTGTAGTGTAAACATACACTTATTCTATGAATCTTAACTGCCCTCTCCCCACTAAAAGAGAAAAAATTGTTCTGCTTTGAGATTAATTTTTCCAGTTATTGGATGTATATCTGTATTTTTTAAGTACAATTTAACATATAATCTCTACAACTTTAATGGAATAATTTTTTTTTTAAATTAGAAGTAACTGGTAAATAACAACTGGAATGGAGATTTAAGAGAAAACACATCTTTTTAATTGGGCTTTGTAGATTCAATTTGTTTTCTCGGAAGTCATTGCTTGTACATGTGTTGCTGGAGAAAATCCAGTTCCAGTTCAATTATGTAATTAATAATATATGGAGATATACCTATTTCATAGAACTGGAAGGGACCCCAAAAGGTCATTGAGTCCAGCCCCCTGCCTTCACTAGCAGGACCAAGTACTGATTTTGCCCCAGATCCCTAAGTGGCCCCCTCAAAGATTGAACTCACAATCCTGGGTTTAGCAGGCCAGTGCTCAAACCACTGAGCTATCCCTCCCCCCAAAGTAAACAGATTACTGTTTACCACCTTTGTAAAGGAAAGATCTCTAAAACTTTGCAATTTTGAAATTGAGCTAAAATTTTGTAGTTGTAAGACACTTGATTAAATTCCTTTAATCATAACTGTATTGATCCTATATAGTTGTTTGAGCAGAGCAAATTTAGAATAATTTTGTTTAGTTTTTCTTTCCTAATCTTCTAGTTTTGTTTTGCCTTAGCAAGCCTTAGAAAACAGTGGGCTGTCTTCAATTCCAGTCTCAGCGCATCCTACAGACTGCAGCCAGGCTAAGAATCCTACAACACAGGATCAAAATCCAGATGTTCAGAATCTTTCTAACCATCAAGCTGACCCTAATAATGCAGAACAAGATAAAGAGCAAGAAAGCCCAGATAAGATGGATAAAAAAGAGAAAAAGGTTATAAAGAAAAAATCACCATTTTTACCTGGTAATGTTGGAAATGTTTTCTACATACAACTTTTGTGCAGTAATAACTACAATATCTTACAGTTTTCTGTAGCACCTGTCACTGTAGTGTAGAGGAATTTCCTAAAATGCATACAGTTGATATATCAATAAAATGCTTATGGAATTTCAAAAACACTAACACTTCATTTATTTGTTTGTTTTTAGCAGAACTTGTGTGTGTGCATTGGTTTCCATTTTCTCTTCCCCATTCTGTGCATCCAAGTTTGGATTCTTCCTATTCATCCTTAGTTCAGATTGAAGATCAGTACAGTAAAGGCATTGCCAGTACTGCTTCAGTGCCAGCCGGTTGAAGCTCTGTGACAAGCAATACTTAAGCTCCTGTGGCTCAGAGTTTAATAGTCATCTTATGTTGCTTGTTCTTCGTGTAGGAAGCAGAGACTTAAGGTTGATTCCAAAACAGGAGTTGCATGCCCTACACCATTCTTCAACCAGCTCAGACTGTCTGGCACACTTTGACCACTTAGGTCCCCACCCCCAGGGGGGCGGAGAAGAGGTACTATGTACCTGCAGAGGGGTTTGAGTTTCTGTTCTTTCACCCCCCACCTAATTCCCTGGTTGCACAGGCGGCAATGGAGTGAGTCTGGCAACACCACCCACGCTCCACCTCAGTGAATAAAGAGGGCATGTGACTGGACCTTCTGGGTCGCAAGGTCTTGTCCTCTGTCAGCCTTCAATTTCGAATCTCAAATTACTTGGCTCTGTTCACTAAATCAGCAGTTCTCAAACTGTGGGTCAGGACCCCAAAGTGGGTCACGACCCCATTTTAATGGTGTCACCAGCGATGGCTTAGCCTTGCTGGGGGAACGGTTGAACCTGTTCCTATGACCTAAGAGGGCACAGGGTTCTATTCCACCTGTTTCCTAGTTCGCAAGAAGAAGGGCAGGTGGAGACTGATCTTAGACATCTGTCATCTCAACCACTTCATATGCAAACCAAAGTTTCATATTGTCACCCTAGCAGCCATCATATCTTTGCTAGAAAAGGGCATATGGTTTATGGCTCTCGATATGCAGGATGCTTACTTTCATGTAGATATCCACAGATGTTTCTTGAGATTCACGGCAGGTCATCAGTACATCCAATACAGTATTCTGTTGTTCAGACTCACCGGTTCTCCGTGGTCTTCACCAAAGTTTTCTCAGTAGTGGGGACCCATCTTCGGTGTCAAGGGGTCCTTATATTCCCTTATCTCAATGACTGACTGATAGCAACGTGATCCAAAGCGGAGGCTCGAGTCTTGACCTCCATGCTGTTCACGCTCCTCTCCTCACTGGGGATGAGTGTAAAGGTTGAAAAATCCAGTTTGGATCCCCCACAGTCCCTAGAATTCATTGGGGCCCACATTGATGTGGTCTCTGCATGTGCCTACTACTGGAGGACAGGTTCCAGACCCTACAAGAACCAGTTACCAAGGTGGTTTCCAGTTCTTCTGTTCCGGTCAGGATTTGCCTTTCCCTTCTTGGTCACATGGCGACCTGCACGTACATTACCGCCTTCTGTCATCTTTGCTTTCACTGCCTGCAACTGTGTGGCTGTGAGGGCCTATTTTCCTATGCACTATACCAAGGACTTCCTACTGACAGTTCCCCTGCCCCCAAGGTTCTCTCCTCCCCTCTAATGATGGACAAACCCAGGTCAGGTCTGTACCAGGATACCTTTCTTCCCATCATCACCAAGCATGATTGTCATGGACGTGTCACTCATAGGATGGGGCGCCCACGTGGGTGAGCACATGACACAAGAGACTTGAGCCACTCAGGTAGGGTTGCCAATGTTGGTTGGATGTATTCCTGGAGATCCATAATTTTTAATTAAAGATTCATCTTTAATTCCTGGAGACTCCAGGCCAATCTTGAAGGGTTGGCAACCCTACACTCAGGAATCCCAAATGCACATCAATATCTTGGAAATTCAGGCGGTGCGGAGAGCATTTAGCTCATTTCTCCCATCCATTCACTCCCGTCATGTTCTCATCGTGGCGGACAATTACCCCCACCATTTCTGCATCAACAAACGGGAGCCTGATGATGTCAGTGCTCTGTGCGGAAATTTTTTGTCTTTGGGATTTGTGCATTACCCACAAGACCCTGTTGTCAGCAGTGTATCTTCCTGGGACTTGGAATGTAATTGTGGACTCTCTCAGCAGGGCATTCATGGCTGACCATGAATGGGACTTTCATGACACTGTGGCTGCTGACCTTTTTGACCGCTGGGGGACTCTGACCTGGGACCTCTTGCATCCCACACTGACAGCAAATGCACCTAGTACTGCTCTGCAGTGGGGAGATGAGTACCCTTTCTCAAGGCAGTGCCCCGTTCATCCGCTGGTCAGACCAAATCATTTATGACTTTCCTCCCCTACTGCTCCTACCGCATGTCCACACAAGATCAGATAGGAAGAGCGATGGTCATTCTGATTGCCTCATTCTGTCTCACTGTTTTTGGTTTCCCCTCCTTCTCTGCATGTCAGCGCGTCCCCTGCCAGCTTTCCTGGAACTCCTCACGTAACATGGCGGCAGGATCAGGCATCTCAATCTGCAGATGCTTCACCTAAGAGCTTGGTTTTTGAACAGACATCTTCTCTAGAGCAGGAATGTTCATCAGCAGTACAAGACATCCTCTCGAGTAATCCATGAGGCGGGTCCTATAGGGCCGAGTGGAAGCGTTTCACCCTGTCGGCCCAGCAGAGGGGTTTTGCCCCTGAGCACATGGACCTCCCTCTTCTTCTGGACTATTTCCTGTCCCCTGAAGGCATCAGGACTTGATCTCAACTCCATCAAGGTTCATATAGCCACTTTCAGTGCCTTGCACCCCTTTGAGGAGGGGCGCTCTCTCTGTATGCATCGCTTGACTACCAGGTTTTGGAAGAACCTCCTCTAGACTTAGCCACCCATTCAACCCTTTGCTCTGCAATGGGACCTCAGTCTTGTCCTCTCGGTGTTGATGAAATTGCCCTTTGAACGTATGGCCTCCTGCTCCCTGTCTCTTTTTTCCATGAAGGTTGCCTTCTGCAAGCTATTACTTCTGCAAACAGGGTAGACAAACTGGGGGCCATGATGGTGGACCACTGTTTTACTAAGTTCCATAAGAACAAAGTTTCCCTGCACTTACAACCTTTGGCAGAAAGTTGGGGTGTATCCTGCTTTCATCTTAACCAACCTATACACTTATCTTCTGCTTGGCTAAAGCCAAGTTCCAGTGCATCTACTAAACTCTCTGGAAGGGGAATTTCAGTTCAGACAAGCACTAAATTATCAGCTGACATATTAGTGGCTTCCATCTTGGCTGAAACCAGAGATTGAACTGAACACCTCCAGAGCTAAAAGCATGACTGAAAAATACATTGCTTATGTAGAGAATCCCAGTGTTGTCCGACGCTTCTCAGTTTTAAAGGGAGTTAAAATCCTATTAGGTGTGTAGAGCCCATTTCATACATACCAAATTACTTCAAAGTGTAACATTAATATCAAAAGTAACTTTTGATATTTTTAAGCTAGCTAGAACAAAGGAAAAACTTTAAAAATACCAAGTGTCAGTCATATGAACCTTGTTTTTAAAGAAGGGAATTGTACTGCATTTGAATGCGCATCAGGCAAGTTTGTGAAGACCTGATGCGCTGGTATTTGCAACTAGCACAAAGTGAGGCATTGGAAATGAGACATAATCTACAAACAGGATTCTAAACATGAAGACTATTTTGCAAATGTAGGGGGTAAAATAGGAAAAGTATTAGTAATACAAATCTTAAATGTAAGATTAAAGTTCAAAGAATTAATCCTGTTTCCGTGAAAAAGTACATTGCTTAAATTTAATCTTTCAGTTCTGTTCTCTTTTTATAAATGTAAAAAGAACAAAACTCTAATTTGTAGCCTAAATTATTTTAAATTCAGTGGTACATGTATAGTATGTTGACTTAAGTTCTTTCAGGATGTGCACCAAGTAGAATTTCTTTAGGCAGAAAGTTCTTAATGTAAGAGAGAATTTTTCTTCAAGTGGCTCTGTATGTTCCCTACCTGGTGAAGTCTAATGGTGGAACCTTTACAAATAGCGCCTGTTGGCTTTCTCTTCCTCTCCCCGCTTACCCCTCTCCCCCCCCCCCTTTCAGTGTTCACAAAGAGTGAGGCTATATACAGGGGCACTGCTCCCTCTATAGCCTCAGTTCTTTCCAACCACAAGCGCCAGTCAGAAGTGAACCACGCCAGTCTATCTGATGCGGGGTTTTCTCCTACCTCAGAAGCCAGGTCCGTTTAAGCTGTGTTTCAATCATTATTTAATTAGGACTTTATACCCACCTCCTGAGTTTTCAGCACTGCTTGCCAAACTATCCATAAATAGGAATATACAGAGCCACTCAGAGAAGAAATGAAGGTTTTTTATAATCCGAATTCTTCGAGATGACTCTGCATAATCACACTTCCCATCCACCTTCCCCTCTTGCCCAGAGTGCTTGCTTTCTCTGACTCAGTAGTGGAAGGAACTGAGGTTGTAGTGGACATAGCACCCCCTTATATAGCTTCATCCTCAGAATGTTTTTGAATGCTGATGGGAGGGGCAGAAGAGCAGTGTGTGCGCTCCAACAGGCATTGCTGGGAGAATGTTCCACTAGTAGGTTGCACTGTTTGGCTCATTACCCATAAATGAGATGATGCAGAGTCATCTCAAAGAGCTTTGATTACAAGTAAATAACCTTCATTTATTAATGGTGGTAGCCAATCTATTGCATGTGTGTATCCCTGTTTGATAAGTCTACTGGAAAAGAATATGCTTGGTTAGAGTGGGAATTCCATAATAATAATAATAGCAAGCCTGATAAAATTTGTGGAGAGAAGATACATTTTTAAAAGTACTAAAAAGAAAATTAGATAACATTTAGGAAATCCATTTTATAAGTTTGCTCACTAGAGTAGATTTTTTGTAAACGTCTGGCAAGAGATTATGGAAAGAAAATAGAGAGTAACTTTTTTAAAATAAAACTTTTACAAATAGGCAAAATCAGTTTAATTGTTAATGGGAAATGAAGATATTGGGCATAATATTGTTATGACGATTAAGGTGATTTGGTGCTGATTCACATGATCCTTAGAATCAATCTCAGAGCTTTCGTTTACATTCTTCACATTGTGTTCTCTAGGTTTTTTGTATAAAAGTATTAAAAGACCTTTCCTCCATTGGAGCTACTGGAATCTGCTTTTGGAATGACTATTCATTCTCTGATATCTTCGTAGTGAATTTGACATTTCTAATAAAACAATGCTATTCACCAGCTTTCTGCTATTCTGGACACTGTTTTTAATAGTCTATTTAAAAGAGACAAATGAACAAAACAAACCCATGTGTCCCCAATTGCAGACCTATAATCGTGATACTTTTTTTTTTTTATAGCAATCCTCTGAGGAGTATAACAATTCAGTAATTGAGTATGCTATGCTTAAATCCTGTCAACACAAATATACAACTCAAAAATGGCTAATACATTATATGCTATTCCCATACACACACTCCACACTGTAGAATAAAATGTTACTATAGGTGTATTTTGTTGTTTTTTGTCCTCCTTCATTACAGGTATGTTGGTAACTACGATTAAATAGCATTATCTTGATTTTATTTTAATCATATTTCTATAAGGAGTATTTACTCTAAGGGGAAGGTATCTGAGAAGTGCATTACGCTTTGTTTACTAAGTCTTGGCAAGAGTCTTCAGTGCTCATTTTTAATTCTCATCTTTTGAGTGACAATGTCAATTTAACAGATTGTTTATTAACTTACAAATATAAACAGGCACACATCTAATTTCAGTGTTGTTTATTTCAGGTTCTGTACGTGAAGAGAATGGAATAAGATGGCATGTTTGCCCATATTGCTCTAAAGAATTTAAAAAACCCAGTGATCTAGTGCGCCACATTCGAATTCACACGCATGAGAAGCCATTCAAGTGTCCCCAGTGTTTCCGCGCCTTTGCTGTGAAGAGCACTCTCACAGCACACACAAAAACACACACTGGCATTAAAGCTTTTAAGTGCCAGTATTGTATGAAATGTTTTTCCACCTCAGGAAGCTTAAAAGTTCACATTCGTCTGCATACAGGTAAGGCCTGTGAGTTATCCCTATGGTTTTATATGATGTTCAGAAGCCCTTCAAGAATAGGGGACAGAGTTTGGTTTGTAGATATGAAGGCGATCAGGCACCATCATAAATATCGAATATAGAATGAAGTATTTTGTCTCTGACAAATAACTTCATAAGAATTTAAATAGTAACCCTGTTGAATTCTTGTATTATAAACTTCTATTCATCAAATATTTTAACTTGTTCATGTCCCAATTCTCATTGGTGTGTGACTTTAACTCCCTTTTCTCTGCTAAACCACAACTGTCCACATATGTTGTTTCCTTCCTTCACTCTTGTTTTTCATTTTCTCCTGGAACATATACCTGGAGGGCCAGTTCTTTAGCTGTTCCAGGCCTCCAGACAAAAACTCTTTCTTGAATTATGAAGCTACTGAATCACTGAAGGTGGTCAGGGCTGGTCTTACCATGAGGCGAACTGAGGCGGCTGCCTCAGGTGCCAGACTGTGGGGCAGTGCTACTAGGACCCAGAGTGTAGAAAATTGTCTGCTTCTGGTGCATATGTATTCTCTCTGCTCTAGATGCGCAGAGATGGTGGAGTGCTGTGCTGGAGGAAGGAGGGCACAAGAGACATAACAGGCAGGCAGGAGAAAAGGTGAGAGGGAATAACAGAAAGCAGCAGGAGCTGCAGGGAGAATGAGGAGGAGGTGTCTCTTATTTACCTCTCTAGCACCCTCAGGAGCCTGGACTGATTAACACCAGCTTGTCAGGGAGCTTCCTGTTTCCTGCTGCTTCCCTGAACCCACTTGAGGAGAACAGGCAGTCAACTGAAGTAGTAGGGCCAGTTAGACCCTTAAGATGTGATATCTTCCCTCACTCAGGCCCTGCTACCAGCCTGCTTATTTGTCCCCTTCAGTTGAGTGTTGAGAGCCACTATAGCTGGCACAGAACAGCAGTCGTGAGTGAAAGAAGAAAATACCCCTCTGGGGCAGCATTCAGAAAAAGAGAGGAAGCTTTTCTATCTAAGCAGGAAGGAGCTTTTCTGAGATACATAGACAGAAGTGTTTACGATGAGCCTTCCGGCCTCAGTGAGTATGTGAGTGGTGAGGAGATGCCTGATTTTCCAGTTAGTCAGAGTGCAAGTGACCTGGCAGCTACTGCAGCATCCATATCTCCATCTCAAATGGATGTAACCATGTACATTCCTGAAGAAAAGTGTAGATCAGAGAAGAGTGTGGTGGAGGCGCAAGAAACCGCTGCTGCTGAGTTTAGTTCCTTAAGTCTAGATGATACAGGACTGTGGGCCCATTTGAGCAGTAGCCTGAGGGACTTCCTTGTACTACATGGGCCACAGCCAGGGCCGGCTCTAGAATTTTTGCCGCCCAAAGCAAAAACAATTTTGGCCGCCCCCCCCCCTCCCGTTCTTTAATTAGTCCACCCCTGGCCCCGCCTCAACTCTGCCCCTTCCCCAAATCCCCAG